TTTTAGATAATAATGAACAACGATATAATAATGTGAGATTGCACAGTATTTATCTAGAACATCATTGGTTGAACCGTAACATTAAAATGCAACTGTTAAAGTAGGTTAAGGATTCGTAATATTAATACTTATTGTAGAATTCATAGTAACTGATTCTTCAGTTTAGTTATTTATCGAATATCCCAAGTATCCTGTTATACCATTAAAATTGCATCCGAACACAGCATCAAAATATATAGTTAATGAATGGTATGGGGAATTAATGGTATATATTTATGAAAATCTTGCTGTTGCCCAAACATACTTTCCTCCATAAACAACATTTGAATCAATGTACGACCAATAAATTTCATCGCCTTTTTAAAAGTCTTTGCTTGTTGAGGATTCTAAAACAAAAGAAGACTTTATATTATCTGGAACAATAAAGTCATAGAATTGCTATATAAGATACTTTGAGTCTAATATTACAGATTAGCTTTACATTTGGTCACTTAATCATATTTTATACAATTATTATTTTAAAGTATTGATGCTTTTGGACATGATGATACACAATTACCATCAGATACGGTTTTAAACCCAATTTAACATTTTGAACAAAAGTAATCTCTGTCACACTTTAAACAATAAACTGGACAGTTTGCACTACTCATTAAAGCATATGTTAAATACCACCCAGAATTACCAGATCTAATTTAAATAATAAATCTTTACGTAAAGTTCCCTTTAATCGAAAACGTGAAGCTTCCCTATTCTACGTTGAGATTCGTATATAATAATATAGCTTTGGCAGTTTAACAACCACTTAATGCTATGGTAGGTTAATAGAAAATTTAAATGTTGTTTCCAATAAATTGTGTTCCATCATAATAGATTGAAGAATAGTAAGTATTGTTTAAATATAACGAAATTCCTGAATTTATTGGAGTCGCATTACAAGTATAAATATACAATTGCATCCCTAATGGATATATGAAATATGTTGTATTAACTATAGTACTTGCTCCTTCATTGTACCTAAATATTCCAAAATATGGGGCAATTTTTTTATTTTCATTACTCAATTATCTTAGATCATAAATAATATCCCACCTTATTAATTGAGTATATTAGAAAGGGAATAAATATAAAGCCAAGATATAAGATATTAAATACTATTTACAATACCTTTTCCTACTATCCGTCAATCCTAAAGGACAATACTAATAACATCTATCTGAATATAATGTTTTTCCTTTAGGACATCTACATATTCCATCTATTAGGATTACATCGTAGAAACATTATGTGCATTGATTAAAGCCATCTCCTGTACATGTTCTACAGGTAGGGTGACAAGATATATAAGAAAAATGAATATTTCTAATTAATGCTTTTGTCGAATTGTTTGTTAGACTGAATTTAATATTCGTATATTAATTAGTATAAGGAAGAGAAATTTGATATGTTCTAACTTCATGTTGTTCCGAATCACATGCTCCATTTTCAAATTTTAAAGGATTCTACGTGGAATACATAAATTAATAAGCCTAATTTTTATATTCAAATATCAGTGCGTCATTAGACCATTGTGAAATGTAGTATACATCAAATACAATTGTGTGATTATATGAATAAGAATTCTAGGTGTAATATTAGTAATTAGAAACAGTGCTCATTTGTGAATCCTATAAAATTAAGGCTGTTCCTTTTGGATTTGTGCAATTTCTATAGAGAGCGCTCTTTGAATTCTAAATTTACTTAAATCCAAATGGGCAAGTATCATCGGAACAATAAAGCAATGAAGGCCGATTAAAGGAGCTATAATATACTTACCATTAAGCATATAACAAATTGTATTTGAAAGAGAATTAGCATATTTATTAATCTATATCAGTTTATTTAAGAGGAGATCGAAAGATGGATAAATACGTTGGCAGAATATTATGATATTCCAAATTCAAGAGAATTTTATTGCTTTAGAACTAAGATATTCTATTAACCTAAACAAACTGAAACTTGTATATTAGTAAGTCTTTCTTAGTATTATTAGTTTCCTTGAAAAAATATTTAATTGAGTAATATTAATTTTAACAATAGACTTTTTCAATTTCTTTATTTATTTATTTCAGATTTTTATAAACAAAATAGTATTGTTCTTTAATTATTTTTCTTGAGTCGATGAATTAATTATGAATTTTTAAAGAAATTCATTTATTTAATTTTTTTTTGAATTCTCTAAACACTAAAAAAGTGACTTATCCATATAGGATCGCAATTTCTTTGATATAATTTTTTATTTTTTTTTTCTTTAAAACTAACAAATAATATTTAAGATTTAATGATATATTTTATTTCATAGTAGTCTTAGGGAAAACCTAATATAATATTTTTCCCTAAAATATTAAAAAAGTTAAAATTGAAAGAAATCATCACTTGATAAAAAAATCAGAAATTTATCATAGCTTTTAATATGTATTCGATTTTTTTCTTCTTTTCACTGAAATTGATTTAGAATTTCATTCTTTGTAATATTGAGAATAAGTCGCAATCATAATTTGTTTATTCTAGTCTATTCCCTACAAGTAATTTTAATTGTTAAAGGAAAAAAAAGTATTGTGAATTCTGATTTATTCATAATCCAGTTTTAAGGTAAATAATCAGAATATTATCATATCATATATATCTGACTCAGTATCAATAAGATTCTAAATAATTATATACAAGGTTTAGAATCTGAAATAAATTATTATTCCATTATTATTTCGAACAAACAGAAATAGTTAGAAATAAAATGATACAAATATTTTTTCAATTATTAGAGACATCATTTCAAATGAACAAATGTTAGTTATCTTTACTGATCAAGTTCATTAAAGTAATGATTCTCTTATTTTAAATATAATCAAATTGATATTTTTTTTTTGATTTTTTCACTTTTCATTTCCTTCAGATTTAATAAATTCTATAGTTTTTACCTGCTCATATATTTTCTTTTTTTTTATTTGAAATGAAATATCTACATTTAATTTACTTTTATTTTTGGACATAAAATTAATTAAATTGGTTAGCTTCATCTTAAGCTAAAGGTAGTTTCACTTATTTCTATGATAGTTTCATGAATAATTTCAGATAGTTACTAAGCCCATAATTTTCAATAAACTTGATTAACCCTTATAAAATATAACCTTCAGTAGGATGCTATTGTCCCTTTACCAGCGATTAATTGAGTCATTCCCAAAACTTTTTCAATCTAGCCTATTCCCTATAGTTCTTAGTTTAAGTAGGCTCTGCTCTGCCGTATAGGGGTCGATAGTTATTGATCTATCTTTAGTTTTCTCACCATTTTCCTGACTATTTGCCTTTTAAAGGGTGACAGATATTATTTAAATAAATTTTTTTGAACTCAGAATTAGTAACACTCAAATTAATAACTCTTAAGGTAATAGAAGATTAAATTATAACTACATACATTATTAACATTCGCATGTTAATTATCGATTATGAAGTTCATAATTCAAAAATATTGTATTTTTCATTGGCTGTTTATAATAAAATTATAAATAAATTATGCAGTTTGAAATAATAATCAATGTAAGAAGAAATTTTATTAAGATAGTGCAGGAATGCTTTACTAAGGCATTTTTTTAAGGTCATTCTTGAGGACAAGAATGCTTGGAATACCACATTTATTCATAAGTGCTTAAAATCGAATTGAAACTGCACGCTATCATTAGAATAGATTAAACTATTATGTTAAGTCTAATGGATTAGA